GAGAAAAGAGAATGGCTGCTCTGTAGTTTCCCCAAAAGGGAAAATCCAAAAGAGGCGAGGGGCAAAGCTTTTTCTTTTGGCAAGCAGTTGTTTCTGGCAAGGAATCCTAGCTCCAGTGGGTAAAATTCAGTAATAGTATTACCATCTTGGAAGTTGTTTTGGGAGAGAGACTAGTTGTTTGGAATTACAAGAGAGAGGATCTCCCAGGGAGCTTGAGCTGAGCAGAAGAAAGTATCACCATTTTGGAAGATGTGTGTTGGCAGAACATAGGTAAATGTTAGAAGACAAATGATTTTAATGCAACAAAGAAAGAAACAGCATCTATAGAAAAAAGGTTAGATAGCAAATTCAGCCAATAGCCGATACCAAAATTCCACATAAACGGCCAATTAAACAAAAGAGCTACCAGACAGTCAACATAAGAGCTCTAGACGATCCAGAAAAGAGAACCTCCTTTACCGAAAAACTGGAAGGAAAATTAAGAACCATGAGCAGAGAGGGAGATGTAGAACAACAGTGGTGCTGCTTAAAATTGTGTATCTTGGAAACTGCAAGGGAAGTTTGTTGCTTGTGCAAAATATCTAATAAACAAAAGCGCACAGAATGGTGGAATAAAGAAGTAAGATATTTAGTTCAATCAAAGAAGAAAACATGGAAAGCTTATCTTCAAGAGAAAACAATCAGAAAACTAGACGAATACCACCAAGCCAGAAATCAATGCAAAATAGCAGTCCGGCAAGCGAAAAGAGAGTCATGGGAAAGAGTATCGATGAAGATCACCGGGAGTATCGATTAAGAAGTTCTGGCGTAAAGCAAAGCTATTAAGAGGAAAAACAAGTAAGCCAGTGAGAAATATCAGACTCTAATGGCAGCATGGTCACCGAAGAAGCGAAAATTCTTGAACGGTGGAAGAGGTTCTATCAGGAACACTTCTCAGGTGGGGGACACACTGACCCAAAAAAACATCTGGTAGAAAATAATGTTCTGGAAAGTCTAGAAGTCATTGAGGAAGACGATATAGAATATGCCATCCAAAAAATTAAAATAGGTAAAGCGGAGGGAAGGGATGGCATAGCCCCCGAATTAATAAAATTTGGAGGACAGGAATTAATTAAATTTCTCCAAAAAGTATGGGATACAAAGATAGTCCCAAGGGATTGGGAGTTAAGTGTAATTGTCCCCATTCATAAAAAAGGCAGCTCCACAGATTGTGAAACTATAGGCCAATAAGTTTATTTTCAGTAGCTACAAATTATACGCCTCAATCTTAGAAAAAAAATTAAGGCTCATAGTTGAGAACCAAATTGAGAGCGAACAAGCAGGCTTTCGTCCGGGGAGGCAGACTCAAGATCACATTTTCGTGCTAAGAAGCATCGCAGAGAAAGCATGGGACAGAAACAAGAATATATATATGGCATTTCTGGACCTCAAAGCAGCATTTGACTCTGTTCCAAGACAAGAAATATGGGATGCTTTGGCAAAAATGTTCCAGCTGATCTTATCATGGAAATTAAATCGGCTTATAAGGCAACAAAAGGAATTGTAAGGATTAATGGTAGAGAGTCCAAGCCTTTTCCCATGGAGAGAAGAGTCAGGCAGGGAGACAGCCTAAGTCCTCTCTTTTTCATTATATTTATGGATGAAATCCATAAAATTTGTAAGCGTCGTACTGTTGGACGGTCGTCGGAAAATGGAATCTGCGGAATATTATGGTCCAAAGCCTACTATATGCCGATGACATTGTTCTGATTGGGGACACAAAAGACAAGCTGCAGCAGGCCCTTGTAGAATGGCAGGAAGAACTTCGCAAAGGTATGATTATCAATAGCTCCAAAAGCAAAGTCCTAGTCATATCAAGAGATGAACAAGAGGACGTCCAGCTGATCTGTAGTGGGGAGGTTTTTGAAGTTGTGCAAGAATTCACCTATTTGGGTACAATTATCAGCAACAAGGGGGAGATTGACCCAGAAGTAGCGAATAGGATATCCAAAGCCAATCAGGTATATTACCCTACAGCAACACTATAGTAGGGCACAGAGAAGTTGGCAAGGAAACAAAAAGGCACATATACAAGTCGGTATAACTCCCAACCCTCACGTCTGGAAGCGAAAGCTGGATTATGCTGGACAAGCAGGTTAGCCGTGTGACAGCAGCCGAGATGAAGTTGCTGCTGGAAAGAACAGGAGAGATCACGTTTATATATAAATCGCAGTATATAACTTTTCTCTGTGTAGAACTAAAAAACAAATACTTGCAGGTGAATTGAAACGAAACAAAGAATTGAATTTGTTGGAAAAGATAAACTATCATTTTTACCAGAATCACTACATTTAGTTCTTTTATAAAAGAAGAAAATATATATTCTCAATGTGTTTAATAAAGTACCCAAATAAATTTAAAACTTTAACTACTACCTTTAAATTAATAAATTTGTGGTATTATTAGTAAAATCATTGTGGTATTTAGCCAGTTTCAGCCTACCATCTGGCTGGAAAATAGGTCGCATGCCAACTTTGGACCCTGAATTCTTGACTATTAATGATTGTTGTTCAGCCTGTTTTACAGCTTGTTGGCAATGACATAAAACACATTTTCGTGTCTAACTCAGTTTTTGATTTTTTTGACACTTAGCCCGTTGTTGATGTTCAGTCTTCAAATAAGTTTTAAGTATCTAATTAATTAATAGAATGTCAGTTTATATTATCCTTGTCAGAATTTTTATAATTACTATACGACCCTTTAATTTTGCAAAATGATTTATTTTTGAGGAAAGAATGATAATATACAGCTTAAACACGTCTATTCATAGATAAGATTGAGCTTTAATGACAATCTGTTTAAATTTTCCCTGAAACAGAACACAGTAAACCTTGTTGGTAAAAATTTGGTAGGTTCAATCACACAACTTTCTCCTGACTGCTTTTCATATATTGTCCTATAAAAACACTGACTGTTATACAAACACTGTTCAATACAAAAGCTGTATGTTCACTAATAATGGTCTGATGTATTCTTCTAAATAATTATATACCATAAGCAAACAGGTTTTATAAAGATCAGAAAACCATAGGCCAGGAAATGATTTCAAATCTCATTAGCAACAAAAAGAGGCTCTGATTCCTCACTATTTTGAGGCATTGTTCAATTTTAATTCCATCATTAAAAAATCAGTTATTACTCCTGAAATATTTGGTCTGAAGAAATTTCGAAAAGATTATTGGAAATAATAAAATATTTTCAGTAAGAAAGCAATATTGCAGGTATGGTCAGTCAAGGAAAAAGTTTCATTGAGTGAAATGCTTTCACATGAAAGAAAATAAGGAACTAAAAAGTAATAAAAATTTTATAACCTCTTTATATTATAGCACTCTCAGTAAGTAAGAAATAATGGATCCTCCAAAAATTCCTTATTTAATATCCTTCTATATGAATGACAGAACACTAAATTAAGTAAATTTTGGTTTCCGAAAATTATGGGTGATAAATATTCAGGAAGCAGATTTTTAAAAAGAATTTTAATTTTTTTATTTGTGCCAACGTTTCAACCCAAACATGTGGGTCATATTCAGGGCGTGGTTCAAGCACTGAATGCTTTTAAGTACTATTTTGAGTACTTGAAGATGACCCACATATTTGGGTTGAAACATTGCCACAAATAAAAACATTTTTTTTTAAAGACTAATATTTATCACCCATGATATGTAGAACAGTCGACTAACTTCCTTCAAGAACTTTCATTATCTAAACAAGTGCCATTTGCAGAAAGGACCCGTAATAGTTAGATCATATTACAGAGGATGGGATGGCCGAGCACGTTGGAGCACGGGTCCCAGAGTGGCCGGTTCTGAACGTTGTGGGTCCGATTCCCACTTGGATCGGTTACTTTTCATTTCTCGGCGGCCCCGGGAAATGGATCGTGACATTCCTACTCTTTTTTTTTTTTTATCCTCCCCTTCCTCGCCTTTAAGGCTATATGGGGGTTTTCCCGGGCCAGGGAGTGTGGGCGGGGATTTGAAAACTCCTCCGGGCACCGGGACGCGAACTCGTGACTAGTTTTTTTATCAAAGTCTCATGTATCAGGTTGCCGGGCAACGGCGGTGCAGTACACGCGTTAGCCCATTCGGCCACCCCGCCCACTGACATTCCCACTCTGGCAAGTATGTGGTGGCAAACTTAAAGGTGGTCATAGGTTTGCAAAAAAGGCCACTATAGGCCCACTTGCCTGACTGGTTCCCCCCACTCAGTACCAGTACCAGTAGATCATATTACAATACAATATCTTTATAAATGTAATTATTAATGAAACTTTAAACAAAAAAAATTAAATAATACAATATCCAAAATAGAACTAATGTTTAGGAAATCTTTACTTGATAGGAGTTTTATACTTCTCCTCAAAACAATAATATAATTTAATTTAATAATAACCATAGCAATAAATTTATGGTAGTATCAGTTAGATGAAAATACTTCGAACTATTTATGCGTTTTTAAAAAACAAAAAAAAAAAACAGTAAAATCAGCCCATGTGTTCAAGAAATAAACGTGTTATAGATCAATGGCTAAAGATTTGTTGTTGTTTTTTACTCAGGGGGCTCTGAAACTAAAAGATCTGTTGAAAACAGCACATCCACAATTTTACTTGAAAGTAAAAAGCTGTGACAACAATCTATTAAATCCCTCACTCTGACAAACATCATTAATAAATTGTTCTCATATTTATTTATGTCTCATTAATCACTACTGAAATGTAATAATTATTTAATGTAATCAGACAACAGACTATTAAGGATAAGAAGAAAAAGAGTAGCTTAAATATGCAGGAAAAAAACAACAAAGTATTTCAAACTTTTATTAGAAGAAATTTTAATAATATTAAGAACTAAAAATGAAAAAATAAACCTAATAAATAATTACTGAAAATAAAGAGTTATTTACAATATTTTATTCATAAAAGTACATCATGTAATTAATATCACAACAGTATTAAACTAATCAACCCCAATAACAGTATAATGTAGTTATAATTTATTTTATGTTCTTTAATTTTTCATTGATGAATTTTTCACAAATATATCTATGTCGAGTATTGTTAAAATAAGTACACTTAAAAATATTTATGATACATATTCATTTGTAATTAAAAAACAAATATTGAGCATGAACATATTACTTATCTTTAGTTAAAAACTTCAAGACATTAACAATTTTTAAATGTAAGTACTTATTTAATTTGGTAAACTAGACTAATGCAATATCAAAGAAGTACAATTTTAAGTAGACTACGGCTGAATAATGTTTACATAATTTCTATTATAGATTTTATTTATCAATTACAGGCTAAATTGTTTGACATTAGTCACATTAAAGGTATAATGGTGATAACAGGTTTGACAGTATGATACTTAGAAACTATTAAGCTAAGTAAATGTAATGGGGTTATGTATGTAATATTGCTAAGTTACACTACTCATTGGATATATTATTTTATTCACATGAATGTAACATTTCATGGTACGGATGTAATAACAATTTTGAGGCATATTACTGATAAACATAAACAATTCGACATTGTCAGGTCGAATATATACATTTAAGACAACTACAATTACACTTATTTAACTACAAGTATAGTATTTTATCATGATGATGCAACAAATTAATATCATGAAAATAGAGTTTAAAAAATGTGAATTCGAATCACTTCCGGCAACAATGTACCAGACAAGTATTGTTGCGTTAAAGTTGTAGAACATTACCCTACAGGTCAAATCTATCGACACAATAACTATGCGTGAATAATTTAAATATTTTATAAAAAAAAAAAAAAAGAATTAATTTAAAAATAATTTATAACCAGAAACAACCCCCCTATGAATAAATAGCTAATACTTTATATTTCAACAAATGAAAAATAACTATTTTATAAAAATATACAAATATACAGAAACAATAAACAGCCATCAATACTAAAAATTTACAATATATAGATAGAACTTTATTTAACACAACATTGATTGATTTTGTGTAACAACTTTAATTTAAATTAAAAATCCATAACAATTTTACAAGTATTACACACAGTGTTTATATGAACAACCTTAGAATAATAACACAAATTACATTATAATAATAATAAAAAAGGTTTACAATTGATACCTTAAATCTATTCAATAGGTCATGTCAAGGTATGGTGGTTTTAAAAGTAATAAAATAAGATATTCATTAAAAAAATTAAGTACTCTTCAAATGGAAGTATGCGGTATAGCACAGATAAAATAATTTTACAAATGACCTTTGTCAGTCAAGAAAATGAAGAGATAATTTAAAAGTATTTGATTGTCTGCAAACAAGTACTGATCATTTCATTAAACCTTTGCTATGAATTCTAAATGTTAACAATGAATTCTATTTACTGTTTAGAGAATAGAATTCAGGATTTCAAACAAAAGTTTCATTCTCATTTAATACTCCATCATAAGAACAAAAATTCTGTCAAAATTTTGACTTTGGAGCATCCTCAAGTAGTTTCCTTGTCCTGAATGCAGCTTCCTGTTCTGGGTTTCTATGAGGTTGTGGTGGTGGGCGCCGACGTCTTCTCCACACGATGGTGAGGACCACAGCACATATGATAATGATACCTATTCCACATGCCATGGCAGTCCAATGACTGGCATAATGCTGCTGCAAAGCCATCTGGCAGGCTGCAAATGTTCTAGCTTCATCAGTTGAATTGCTGATACATGCTGTTTCTTCATCTACAACAGAATTTCATTTCACTGTAAGTGAAAGTTGTGTGATGCGTGCACCAGATTTTTAAAAATTGAGGAAACAGTCAATTCCTGTATGTTTTGGATCACAACAATGATTGTGGATTGGATGTTTTTTGGTTCGTTTTAAAGATTATTATATAAGTATCCAATTGAAGACGAGGATTTTTTTAAATCAAAATTTTGGAAATCTCAAAACACGGTTTCTTAGATTAAAAAAAAATATTTTATTCATAAATATATTGAATTGATCCATGCCAAATTTAAGAATGGAGAGATGATAAGTAAATAAAATCTAGATGTGAAATAGGTGCTATATTAGTTACCATATAAAAAAGAAAGAACAACCTAATGATAAGTTTGAATTTTGCATAAACATCCAGTAATCTTGATTAAACAATTGTTGAATAATATAAAGCACATTACTGGTACTGGTACTGGAGCGTGGGGGAAGAACTAGTCCAGCAAGTGGGCCTTGTAGTCCTTTTTGCTAATCCCTTACAGCAGCTACCTTGGGGTTGCCACAGTACTTACCAGAGCGGGAGTAATTTTATTTACTTATTAATCATTTTCAAATTTGGCTTGAATTTAACACATGTCTGAATAATATATGAACTTTTTAAAAATGTAAGATGACGTGTTTTGAGATTTTCAAAATTCAAAATTTTGAAGAAAAGAAAACGAAATTTTTTGTTTTGATGTTATCATGTTATCTATCAATAAATAAGTTATCTAACATACCTCATCCACCATCGGCCGTAAATCGACAAGCACTTTTGTGATAAAAAACATGTTGAAATTTGGCTGCTTCCATAATTTTTAAAAATCTATATTAAAAAACTACTAAAGAAAAAAAAATTAAAATAGATTTTTAATATATTTTATAAGCATAACCAACACATGTAAATCAGAAACACAAGTTAAAATTTTATTTTCCATTGGGTTATGACATGGAATGACCCAACTACATTAGTAATGTATTGGGTTGGCAAATAAGTCCTTTCGGTTTTTCAGGGTGAAATAAAACTCGATGTATCATAGGCATAAAATTTATTGTAAACTCCAATATATTGACCATTATTTAATATGAATTTTCCCCATCTTTCTACTAACTGCAAAATGCCATGTTCATAGAATGTCTAGAGTTTATTGTTAAAAAAATGATCCAAGTGGTTTCTGATGTCCTCTTCCTTTTGGAATTTCTTTCCATTCATGGAGTTCTGCAGAGACCGGAATAAGTGGTAGTCACTTGGAGCTAGGTCTGGTGAATAGGGTGGGTGGGGCCTTGCTTTGTGGTGGAATACAACACCCTTACGATCATTCATAACTCTTCAGAATGTTCTCCAAATTCAATGTTACTATATGCGTTGAAAAGCTAAATTATTGCTCTTCAAAGCTGTATGTATAGTTTTTTTTTATTTAATGCGTACATAAGAAATAAATAAACATAAACTCCTCATAGGTTTTTATTTTTTATCGCCATTTGTAGTACGAAGGTCCTGTTGATTTCATTTCATGTAGTTTATGTTGGCCTAAATTCCTGCTAAATATCTTGTAGATAGTTAAAGTCATATTGAAGTTAAATCATTTGTTTGTGATTTTCAGAAAAAAATTATGTGAGGGACCCAAACATTAAGCCTGGAAACATAGACGAGCTTGTGCAAATGGTTTTCTATGCTTGCATGCGACACATTTAGGGCCATAGCAGTCTCACGCACTGATTGGGTAGGATTTTGAACAACAATGAACTTAACATTGCTTGTTTCAACTTCATGTGGGTCACCAGACCGTTGAACATAATTGATGTCAAAATTTCCTGAATGAAATTGGCAAACCAATTTTTACAGGTGCGTTCGGTTAAGGCATCATCCCCATAAACACTGCAAATTTTTCAATGAGCTTCTGCAGCACGCTTACCTTTTTTAAAATATATAACAACAAAATGAATAATATTTTCTTTCATATTCACAGGAGAATAGCAAACACAATATTAAGCTAGTTTCAACAAAAGTTAACGGATATAATGAAGAGAAGGATAATTGGGGTGATCAGTCAAAATAAAAATGGCAAAAATAAATATTATTATTTATTTTCGCCATTTTATTTAAAAATGGCAAAAATAAATATTATTATTTATTTTTGCCATTTTATTTAAAAATGGCAAAAATAAATAATAGTATTTATTTTTGCCATTTTTATTTTGACTGATCACCCCAACTATTCTCCTGTTCATTATTCACTATAGTCAACCATCAACTCACAGTTAACAGATATAGTTGTTGACATATTACAAACAGGATAAACAATCCACCCTAGGGATTAATTCATCAGATAAGAAGTGTATCATAGTGACATAAAAATAAACAGAAAACCGAAAGGACTAATTTGCCAATATTAAATCACAGAATATCACATAAACATATTCTATTATAAATAAGTAAAAGATAAAAACAATATTATAAACCTAAAGGGACAGAAATTTATTAACAATTATATAAAATTTGTATCATAAAATTTTGACTTACCATAAACTGTGCAGTTGAAATTGGGAATTACTAATATTGAATGTTCAATGGTCCATCTTTTGACTCTAACACAGTCACATGAAGAAATGTATTTGGATTCCAATAATTCTTGTGGAAGACGAAGTGTTTCAAGATGACAAAATGATGCTAAATTATTGACAGTTAGGTTTACGAGAGGATTGCTGGAGATATTTAGTTCTACTAACATAGGTAACTCTCCGATATGGGGTAATTCTGTAAGCCGACATGAAGATAAGTTTACATAAGTCAATGACACCGCAGAACCCAATGGTATAGACTCCTAAAAAGAAAGATTTAAAATTAAAATATTTATATTTTATTACTGAAAATTTTTAAAAGTTTTTTCATGAAATACTCATAAACATACCAAGGGATTTTCTGAAATATATATTCTACGAAGAGTAGAAGGCATCATTGCTGGAAGATCTCTAATTGCATTGAGACTGAGATCAAGAACTTCTAATTCTTCTAAAGGAATAAATGCCCCAGATTCAATTATGGTAATAGAATTGTCATTTAAGTACAAGAACTTTAGGGAAGCATATGTTGTGAAACTGTTGTTCTTAAGAATTCTTATTCGATTTACTGAAGCATCTAAAACCTGAAAAAGTTGATAAAAAATTAATGAATGGAAATAAGTGAGGATTGAGGCTTTTTTTATAATTGGTAAATAACTATATTATAAATACATTAAAACATGCTATAAATTAAAACACCAAAACTCTAATATATGGAGTATAGAATAGGGTTCTTCTTAATAAATAATGGAGTAGAATAAACGCAGCAGAAACAAAGTATCTGCACAGACTAAATTCAAAAACACATCGAGATAGAATTAGGAATTCAACTAAATGTCCCAAAAATGAAAGAGGTTTTAGAGAAAGCTCCTAGCTCTCATATGGTATGATAACACAAATAATGAGCTCTTTTTAAGGTAAAATAAACTTGTTGCAAGCAAGATTAATAATTGTTGCAAGCAAGCTGACATGGAAAAAAACTTCAGTTGATGCGACAAGAATGATTGATTAATTAGGCTTTTGAATAAGAAAGAATGCATAAAACTTCAGTAGTGATTTTTTTAATATCTGAAGCAAATAACACTTGATTTAACAATATCTTATAACGAACTTATAATGAAACAAAGTTTTATCCCAGACCGGATTAAAAATAAAACATAACAATTGGAAATAAACTTCCTAAGAATTGTGTGAATTAGTAATGTATAATAATATATAATAATTATCATAATCCTTAACATATCTATGTATATAACATACACACATAATTTATTAAGCTCAAATACCTATGGCAGTCATGAGATCGGGAGGTGGAAATTTATAAAAAAGATACAGTCATGAACATACACATTGTGTAGTTCTTAACAATTAAAATCACTCCTTGGAGCAGCTTTGGGAAAGTTTCTAAGCTCAGTGCTTAGCTCATCAAAGACATTGTTTCCTCTCATAGCAATTGAGGAACTTAAAACTGTCTTATAAACACTTTATCAAGAGAATGTAGAACTAACTTGTCTTCCTATCAATCTATCTTAATATCAAAAAGTTAAAAGAGTATTGCTGTAAACAAATTTTGAGAGTCAAGGAACTAAATGATGTAGCTATCATTAATTTTATATACCTTTTTTTATATCACTTACCTCTATACTTTTAGTCTGAGTTGGAATGTTGACTAAATTTATATTTGAGCAGTCAGCACCCAACATCCTAAACACAGTAGTAAGGCGGCATCGTCCTTCAGGTGGTGACCTACCGCCATGGGTATTGACCAGGAACATCAAAATCGCAAAACCTGGAAAAAATAATATATACATTTTAATAAGAGAAGATGACTAAATATAACCAATTAATAATGTTTTTGTTTGTATAAAAATAAAAAGGTAAAACACTTCAGGCATTCATTAGATTTCTTAAAAATAATGGTAAATAAATAATCTATTTTTAAAATAGATTAAAAAATAATCCAAGAAGTGTTCATTATATTTATGAAACCTACCAAACAGACTTAAATAAAAAATCAAATTGAAAGTAATATAACAATGTATAATGGAATATGGCTGGTTACAATTTCTCTGATGTAGTTCGTTGTCAGAAAATATATTGTGAGTAATGATTTTAAGTTTCCAATTAGTAATGGAATTGGTATCAACAATTTTCAAATTATCCATTATAATGATTCAACTTGATCTAAATTTTTCGGTTTTTGAAGGGACTAAATGAATTTCTGTAAAGTGCTACACAGACTATATATCCTTCAGCAGCTGGGTCACATTTACTACTTGATAACATTTCTTTGTGAAAAAAAAATTGATCAGCTGCTGAGTCAAAGAACCAAAATAATTTTTCTCAAATTCCATCTGCCACTTAAGTTTAAGCTTAGGGATGTAGTTTTATACTACTAAAAAAGAACCGCGCCGTAGATTTTATGGCTAACAATTTGCCTTGAAATATAGTTAAGGTCCCAATAATAATGGAAGGGAAGCTATTTCTGCCAAAGAACATGTTATTCTGTTCTCAATGATATCTAGGCAACCTTTTTAAAGTAGTTATTAGCAGAGGTGCTCATCCCTCCCCCCAGGATCAATGGCACAAGAACCTTCCCCTTCCCCTCCTAAAATAATTTATTGCACATTTTCTTAAAAACAGAGCAAAGCAAAGTAGAATTGGAAAAATCGTAGATCATATAGAATTACACTTACTGCGATCTGCTCCATATTTTCTGCTTGTCACTTTTTTTTTGGGTCCTTCACTTCCTCGCCGTTAAGGCTATACGGGGTTTTCCCGGGCCAGAGGGTGTGGGCGGGATTCAAAAGACTCCATCGGCACCAGGACGCGAACTCCTGACAATTTTTATATCATTTCATTAATATATCAGGTTGTCGGGCAACAGCGGTGATGTGCACACGCGTTAGCCCATTCGGCCAACCCGCCCTTCTACTTGTCACTTATTCTGAAACTTTTCATTCCGAAAATTCATAACCACTTTAAAATGTGCCCTCCTCAAAAATTCAAAACCCCTCTAAAATATATCCCCCTCCCATCCAAACTTGCGCCATAAAACCTCCTTCGGGGCACCCCTGGTTATTAAGAGCCACAAAATAATAAAATGAGATGGAATTAAGAGTAGTTTATCCTTATGTTAGTTTACTGTTCAGTATATCCATTTATAGTCACTTAAAGAAAAAAATTACCTTTTTCATTCTTTCTTAAAACAGCTAATTATTTTTTTTTATTTTTAAAGGAATCCTAGTATAGCATAAAATGTAAAAGTAAAATCCAGTGCCGGCCATTGGTATTTGGCTTCCTAGGAAAACGAAGCCACTTCTTCCAAAAAAATTAAATTTATTTCTTAAGCTGTATTATAATACATAGATCATATCTAGTAATATCCTAATTTTATTTCATTCACTATATTTCTTTTTCAAGTGCTTTATTAGAAGGCTAAAATTAATAGGCTGCCACTGGTAAAATCTTTAACACTAATCAGAGGTGCCCAGAAGGGTGTTTTTCATAGCGCAAGTTGCGCCATCAAAACTTTTGAGTGGGGCATATCTTGGCGGGTTTTTGAATTTCTGAGGCAAATTTCGATGGCGTCAAAAATATAATGTCAAAGAGACAAGAGGAAAACATTGAACAGGCCGCAGCAAGTGTATTTGTATGTGATCTACGATTTTCCAAGTTCTTCCTTAGCTTGCTCTGTTTATAACAAAAAGTGGGCAATAAAATATCTTGGGAGGAGGAGGGATGGATTCTTGCGCCATCGATCTTGGAGAGGGGAGATGGGCACCCCTGACCCTAATTGTAAAAAGTGTTAGGGAAGTTCCTGTTATCATTGAAAACTGAGATTTGATAGGAATGCGAATAAACAATTTTCGGGGGCGGGGTGGCCGAATAGGCTAAAGCGTGTGTACAGCACCGCTAGTTGCCTGGCAACCGGATAACAGAGATTTGAGATGATATCAAAAGTACGAGTTCGCGTCCCGGTGCCGGAGGGGATTTATAAAATTCCCCGCCCTCAACCCTCCGGCCCGAGAAAATCCCGTATAGCCTAAAAGGCGAAGTAGGGAAGAACAAAAAAAAAAAAATAAAATAAAATAAAAAAAAATAAATAAATAAAAAAAAGTAAACAATTTTATCTTCCCAAAGATCTCAACCCAAAATATTTGTTTCAAGACTACGTTCTCACTTAATTTTCACATTAAAACTTTTACAATTATATAATTTAAGTTTATATATCTACTTAATCTTATAAGAAAATTAGAAGCACCAATAATCTCATTTTATCTAATTATGTTAGGGTTCTAGAAGGTATTTAATTAAAACAATGGGATTTTATTCTTAGTTATTTCAGCCTTTTTCTTTTACATAATTCATCCGATACTTAGCATTGACAATAAATCTAGCGTGTTATAGATTTCTGAAATCTTTAGAACATAACAGAAATGTTCAAAAACTTCAATAAATGGCATGTATTGGCAAATTCCTAAATTCAGCCTTCCCTTCCTAAACCAGTTAAAACAATGGCAACGATGATCACATCGCTTATTTTATGAGCATGCCCATTGCTTAACCATCCTTTTATAATGAAGACTTTTAACTTAATTTTAATATAAAACTATTTTAACTATTACAGCAGCTTAACTAGAAAGGGAGATTATAATTTAAATAAAAATAATCAAAAGTGATTTTATATAGATATATTAAATAAACCATGATAAGGTAAAGTAATTGTGTAACAGAGGTAAAATATGGAAAGGGGACAGAAAATGACCGAGACCATTATCAAGAAATTCAATTTTCCAAGCTTGATTAGTATCCCCCTCCCACCTTGTCAATTTGCTCCACCTGAATGACCTCTCCGGGAAATTGAAGAGAGTAATGCTTGAAAGTTCAAGTAAAATTTAAAACATACTGTTTTCATTTCTGTCAATGATGTTTGCATAGTTATATAGAAAAATAATTTTAAGGCACATATGAAATAAAATTCTCCTCATCATGAGAGAGACGCTAGTACTCTGCAGAAAGTATAAGACCACGGGCGGATCTACGGGGGGGGGGGAGGGGGCTTTCGGGATGAAGCCCCCCTCCAAAATGGTAAAATATAGCCATGTTTTATCGAAAAAAATATTTAAAAAGTATCTCTTAAAGTATTATTGTTTGTGTAATTACGTTTAAAAGGGCTTTAGGAATCACTTAAACACCATTTCATACAAGTAGTTAGTTTCTTTCTTTGTTTAATTATCGTTCTTTTTATGAAAAAAATAGTTTTCGGGCTGAAGCCCCCCCAAAAAAAATTAGATCCTGGATCCGCTAGTGTGTAAGACCATGCATGATGGTTGTGATATGTATATATATATATCTTTTTTTTGTCCTCCCCTATACGGGGACTCAAGGCTATACGGGGGTTTTCTCGGACCAGGGAGTGAGGAAGGGAGATTAATGCCAAGTTAAACGACCCTCTTGGCACTGGGACCCGAACCCGCAATTATTTTACCTCTTTACAATTTCAGTTATCAGGTTGCCGTGCAACGCGCGGTGCTGTTGCACACATGCGTAAGCCCGCTTGGCCCCACAGCCCCTTGTAATATGTTTACTGTAAATATGTATCATTTATGTTAAAAAAATAACACATTATTATTATTATTAATGTAATAGATAATTTGGTGACATTGCAAAAATCCCTTTTCATAAATGAATATTTTTTTTTTTTAACTTGTTGCTGCATTATCATTTATGTCAATAATATTTCACAATTTTTTTCATTAACATTGTGATATATATATATTTAAGAGATTTTCGTTGGCAAAATAAAATCATATAAACTTTTTGAGAAGATAATAAGACAAAATTTTCAAAAATCTGTACTTCAGGAACCTCTTCGGTAAGTCATATAATGAAAAAATGTATTCCCTTTAATGTTAGATAACAACAGTTGGGTTTATAGTAGATAGTACCTTCCATGTTTGATAAACATAAATATAATTCTACCGTTAAAAAGTGACATTCTTGAACATTTCGAAATATGGCTCACAATTATTGGCGTAGGCGAAGAGTACTGATTTTGATTGGGGGAGAGGGCGATGGTTATGGTTTTGTAACTTGTGGTTATGGCTTTGCAATTTTGTAAAACCACAAATTATGGTTTTGTAATTTGTGATTAAAATATTTTTTTCTCAACACTAGTATATTTCTTAATAATAATCCAGTCCATTTAAAAGAAACAGTTACTTACCTAGGATAGAACTGACCTGAGAGACAAAGTAGACTAAAAACCATCATGCAAGGCAAAAAGGCTTCCATACACAACGGTATGGTCACATCAAGGTTATAAATAAAAATTACAGATGCTTAAAAGATGTACAAACAAGCAAGAAACTTGAACTTAATAAAAATTTAACCTTGACGTAATGTCAAAAGTTTCACGAAAACTTGAACGAGAATCTTGATGTCAGAAAAATTATTACATACCATCATTCTTCCGACCATATTCTTTCATAAACAAGATTTACAAAACTCTTACACGACTAAATGGTGATACACGTGAGCCCAGTAATCTTTTTCCAATCACTGAGCCTTATTATTAAATACATTATGTTAAACTCAGAAAGATTTTCACTAGGGAAAACCAGCCGTTAGACGTAGACAGTATATTTATTTGTAGTGTTTTAGTAAATAATAAAAATAAATCCTTTTAACGATTGTCTAGATAAGCCATAACCTTGGTGGTACAAGTACTCACCTTATTCGTTTCCCACTTCTAGGATTTAATACTTATAGTTGAGATAATTATTT